GCATGCGCCGCCAGCCGCCGCTCACCGCTCGCGCCGCAGCTCCTCCTGCGCCTGTGCCACCTGCTGCTGGAAGGCCGCCTCCTCCAGCGGCCGCACGCCCTCCGCCTCCAGCCGCGCCAGCGCCGCCTCGTACGCCGCCACCTCCTGCACCCAGGGCGCGCAGCGGCTGGCGCAGGCTGAATGCGCCTCTGGCCCGCCGGCGAGGCACTTGGTGCCTGCTGGAGGCAGGCCAGACACAGCGCTCCACCCCGCCGTGCATCTGCATGCGCGCAGTGCAGCTCCAATCCCAGCACCGCCGCCTCCCGCGCCGCCTCGCCGGCTGCCCATCCCCACGCCGCGCCCCCGCCAGCCCCCACGGCCCCTCCCCTCCCCTCCCCCTCACCCTACCTGCTGCAGCTCCCCCAGCTGTGCCTCCAGCTCCTTGTGCACCTCTCCCGCACACTCGGCGCACAGCGGCACATCCACGCCCGCCTCCTGGCTGGCCAGCTCAAACACGCGCGCCAGCCCCCGCAGCTTGTGGTCGAAAGGGATGCGCTGCACGCCGGCGGGGCCGCCGTCCAGCAGCGCTGACTGGGCACCGGCGGGGGCGCGGCCGCCGCCGCCCTGCAGCACCACAAACGACTCCTCCAGGCGCCGCGCGGCCGGGGCTGCAGGGGTGAACAGCAGCGAGGGGAGGTGGGTGCTGGGTCAGGTGGGGTGCACCGGCACCGGCAAAGGCCACAGCAGGGCGTGCACCAACCCGCCGTCGCACCGTGACCGCCCTCGGCTCCGCTGCTTCCGCTCCCGGGCGGGTGCTGCTGCAGTCCCCTGGCCGCACTGGCTGCATCATCCGCGGTCCCCAGCAGCAGGAAAGACTCCTCCAGCCGCGCTGAGAGCCCCGAGCCGCTGCCCGAGAGGCGCAGGCCCGAGGCGTCGTGGTCGCCCAGCTTCAGGCGGGCCTTGCACTGCTGGCAAGTCAGGAAGGGCTCCGCCATGGTGCAGGATGCATCCTAGGGTTCCTGGGTGCCGCTTTGGCTCTCATTTCTTCCGCCGCCTGGCGGTGCCAAGTAGGCCGTCCCAAAGCTCAAAACCAGGGCCTTCCCTGCAGCTCACGCGCCGTCCTGTGATTCAGGATCACTTGTTATGGCCGACCTGCCCTCCCCAACCTCTGGGCTCTTCCTGGAGGTGTCGTTCCGGCGGCTGCTGGCCTCGTGCGAAGATATCGTGGCGGGCACCTCCCTGGCCAGGCCAGACCTGATCGGAAACTGGCAGCAGAGCCCCGTGTTCCACCACGTCAGTGCCCCCCAAGCCGCCGCCGCTGCAACAACGCCTGGCGGCGTACTGTTGCTGCCGCAGAGTGTCGCCTCAGCTCGTTATGCTGCCTGCACCCCCGCTTGCCTGTGCAGTATGTGGAGACGCTGCAGGAGCAGCTGTCTGATCTGGAGACCACGGCGGGCAGCAGGTGGGTGTGCCCGCGTGCCCGCCTGCCTGCATTCCGCGCACAACTCCCGCCGTGCCTCCGCTGCCTGGCCCCCATCCTGCTGTCACGATCTTTACCCTCGCCCTGCACCGCCTGTGTGCTGTCCTGGGGAGCAGGGTGTCGCGCCAGCTGATGCAGCAGTATGGCGAGCATGTGGAGGCGCTGGCCAGCCGGCTGCGCATGCCGGATGTGCCGCCGTACTGCACCATGGCCCGGCAGCAGGCGGCCCCGCCGCCGCCGCAGCAGCAGCCAGCCAGCTTGACGGCAGCAGCAACGGGGGCAGCGCCAGGCGCTGCTGCCCCCGTGGCGCCACGGCCGGCGGCAGCAGCACCGCCGGTGCCGGTGGCCCGCACCCCGCCGCTCCCGGCCAGGCCCTCTGCAGCCAGCCGGCAGCCGGAGCCGCAGCCGCAGCTCGCAGCAACGCATGGGGAGCCGGCGGCTGGCGGCCAGGGCAGGCTGCAGACGCAGCAGCAGCTCCACGTGAGCGCTGCCCGCTGGCCGCCTGGCGCATGCCTCTGCACCCCACCTGTGCTGCCCTGCGCTGCACCTCGCGGCGTGCGCGTTTGCCTGCCGGGCTTCCCGCCTTCCTCCACCCGCCCTGCCCCCCCTACGTGCAGGAGGATTTGGCGGAGGAGCTGGCGGGGCTGGCGGCGCAGCTGAAGAGCAACACGCAGGCCATAGAGGGGCGGCTCCAGGATCGGGGGCAGCTGCTGGACAGCACCGAGACGGCGCTGGACACGAGCCTGCAGGTTGGGGGGAGGGGCGGTGGCCGGGCAGGCATTGCTGTCCACACAGCAGGAGACTGTCAGCAACTGACAACCCGAGCGACTGCAATCATGCATCCTTGCATCCGCCTCCTTCCCCGACTGTACTCTCCCATGCCTGCCCCCGGGGTCATGCCATGCAGAAAACGAGGGAGAGCAAGGAGCGGGCGGCGCAGATCCACAAGAAGGGCCGCGCCAACTTCTGCCTCACCTGCCTCGTGATGCTCATCATTGGCCTGCTGTTTGCGGGTGAGCGGCGCTGGGAGGGCCACTGCAACAGGCAGCTCGGCGATTGCTGCAGTCCTTGGCTGGCTGCTGCCCCCAGGCTGAGTTGCTCGGCGTATCCCCCTAGCGCAGGCATGTACGTGTTCATCAAGATGACGCGGCTGGCGGGCTACCGAGCCACCGTGCCGGTGCCAGCCCCGGTGCCTGCAGCATCTGTGCCTCTGCCTCCCCCACAGGACCCGCCAGGAGCAGATGTGCCAGTCTATGAGCAACACTATGAATTGTGATCTGCACATAGTGAGCACGGTGCCCGGTAAAACAAGTGGCCTGCCTGGATGGCGGGAGGGATCATCCAGAAATGCCAGGTGCAGGTGATGACCAGATCCATTCATCTCAATACTTGATGTCCAAGAAACGTCACTGGGCCCTCTTCTGGACGAGAGTGCTTGGCCAATCAGAATTGGGAGTACTTGCGGCGCACGCTGGGCGGCGCACGCCACATGGGCGCCTCCTCCACCCATCTGCGCGTCTCACGCGGGAGCATTGGCCTTCTGCTACTCCTACCAGTGATCGGCTGTCGCAACCAGGGGAGCCCGAGGCATGGAACCCCTGTTTGCTCTCGACGTGGGTGTTGTGGTTTTTTCTGAGGCTATGCCCGAGCGCCGCCCTCCAGAGTCTTCAGCATGCATGTCCGACACGTGCAAGCCCGCTGACAGCCCATGCAAAGCCCTTCCCGCCCCTGCAGGACCTTCCCCCCGAGACCACAACCTCTTACTCGTGTGCGCAGCAGTATGAGCACCTCCGCGCCCACATACAGTTCCTGCTCAGGCCAGCCAACTACGTGGGCGACAAGGTGAGGCGCTCAGCCCTCCTGTCAGCCGCCGCCAACGTTTTCCCGCCTCCCCTGACTACCACCCCGCTGCGCAACCACCCCTGCAGTTGGCGCGAGATGTGGATTTGTGCATGCTGAAGCACAGCCTGGCGTCGGGGCGGCAGCTGTGCAGCGCACAGGAGCTGGCGCCCGCGCTGACGGCCCGCGGCCACTCCGTCGCTCTCGTGAAGTCGGCGGGCGGCGGCGTGGGCACCGCGGCCTTCCGCAACCTGCGCCACACGTTCATCTCGGTGCTGGCAGCGCCGGGGGGCGCCGCCGCGCCACAGCTGGAGTTCATTGTGGACCCCCACTTTGCCTGCGCCTTCCAGATAGCCAGCCCATGCGCCCGGTACGCGGCCCTGCAGCAAATGCTGCCCCAGTGCTTCGTCGGCAGCCGCGAGCAGCTCGTCAATCTGGTGGAATGGGTGTCCAGGTGGGTGGCCTTGTTGGGCACGGCAGCGGCAGCGGCGGGCCGTTCAGTCTCGGCCCTGCGCTGTGCGCTACGTGTGCTTTTCCGCTCGGTACTGACACCGCCCGCATGGCCGCATCCCTCCCGGCCCCACTCACCCTGGCAGGGAGATGGAGTGGAGCTTCAAGCAGACTGGGCGCGCGCTACCACCCTGGCGGGAGCAAAGGGCGGTGCTGACCAAGTGGCAGCCCCGCACGGAGGGGCGGCAGTGCAGCCTGGGCGCAACAGCCATCTCCCCAGTGGCATCTCCCCCAGCCTGCTACTGCGTCGGCGCCGCGAGCAATGCAGCCATGCTGGGCCGCTACGCCAGCGAACTGTGCCAGTCGCCAGACAGCGTGCTGCTGCAGCGCGCCGCGCTGCTGGCCTGCGGCGCCACCAGCGCCCCCACCTCGCCCACGCACTCTGGCAGCGACTTGCCACGCCGCACATCATTGCTGTCTCGCGGCCTGGAGGCCGCAGGCCTGCGCCGCAGCACCAGCACCCCGCCAGGCCGCTCTCTGCCGCATGGCTGCTGGGGTGGCAGTCCCAGAGCCGGCACCAGCGAGGCGCCCTGCAGCTGGCTGGGGCCGCGCATTCACACCGTCCGGCGAACCGCCTGATTCCGCCGCCCAGCTCTGCAAGACGAGCCCCTCCAACTCTTCACGCACATTGCATTCGAGCCGCCTGAGTGTTTTGCCGCCGCCTCTCAGCAGTTTCTCCTCTCCCGCTGATTCCTCCTAGCAAGCCACTTTGATTCTCTTGACCTGACTAACTTTGGTTTACGGCAGGCACCGCGCATACCTTGCATGCAAGCCGCCGCCAGTTTTGACCCCACCCTCTGTGTTTTTCGTTTCCTGGTCGAGGTGAGCGTGCTGGGGCACCATCCCCTGCCTTGTATGTGGCAGCCCACACTTGGCTGAACACTTGTGTGCCCTCCTGCCTTTCTCTGGCCCAACGCATCACCCTCCAAATCCTCAGAGTGCAGTGCCGACCTGGCAACCCCCAAATCAGAATGCATGCACTGGCTGACCCACCGCCATGTTTTGAGCGAGCGCAGCCGTGCCCTACTCCCAGCCGAGAGTAACAATTTTCATCGTGTCGCAAGCCCAACCCGGCCCCTTCTGATTCCTCAAGCCCACCTGGGCCCCTTCTCCTCCTGACAAATTCATGTTTTCATATTCTCAATTCCTGATGCTGCTACTACACCCCGTACCTATCTGCCACCCCTCTGCAATGCCCATCTGATCTCCCACACTCAAGCCCCGCACCCTCCGCGCCATACTACTTGCGCTCCATGGCAGCTCCTCGCACCCTTTTGTTCCATGCGGTTGCGCATGCCTCCACACAATGCCTCAACGTGTAATAACGTAATAAATGCAACCTATTCCATGAGCGTCAGCCAGTTGACAGCTCATGCCTCCCCTCCAGGTGGGCCCCCACCCGGCGCCTCCCGCTGCTGCTGCTGCTGCTGCTCCTCCTCGGAAGATGAGGAGGGCTGGAACTCGCCCTTCCACCGCCGCTGCTGCTGCACGTCTGCCGCAAAGCCGGCGCACATCTCCACGTATCGCTCCAGCTCCCGCTCCCGGAACTCCTGGGGGTCCCACTCGCCGTACAGGTAGCTGCGCAGGCTGTCCTGCCAGATGTAGACGGTGGTGGGGCAGGCGGCGCCACCCTCCAGCCGCGCCTCTACCCCTTCCTTGTAATACTCATCCCCCTCAAACTCGTCAAACATCTGCGGGGGAGCCAGACGACAATGACAGACAAGCAGGTTGGAACAGGAGGGGGGCAGGCACGCAGTGGCTGGCACCAGCAGCAGCCGGCCCAGCGGCATCGCATTCGCGATGCTGCCAGGGCATGCGTGCTGAGTGCCCAGACGAGGCTGGGCAGCGCCAGCACACGTTGCAGGGCGGGCAGCCCGACTGGCACACCTCCAGCTCGTCTGGCTGCAGGTCAAGTAGCACCATGCCCGCAACCTGGGAGTCTGGCGCCGACCTGATGGTGCCCGGGAACACCTGGCCCCTGATGCGGTACCGCTGATAACCAAGGATCACCGCCGGCTCCATCTTTGGCACCCGATTGATGAGGGCATTGAGCACCTGCGAGCGGCATCAGGGGCAGCATAGGTAGTGGGAGGTGGGGCGGCCAACACACGGCAAAGTCAAGGCACCACTGAGGTCAATGCCAGGCTGCTCCGAACGCATGCCCACAGACCACCCGGTCTCACCTCTGGGTACATCAGGGTCCCGTAGACAAAGGCGCTCATTTGGGCTGGCCCTCAACCCTGAAACCCAGGAACTTGCACAGTCTCAGCATACGACGGGCGGAGCCGCCACACTTTGTGCAGGCAATGCGGCAGCGCAGCGCAGCGCTGCACACGCAATTCCAGTGGGACGGGTAGTTCGCTGACTTCCGCTGGCAAGGTATTCGAGCAAGGAAGAAGAGCGGTGCAAGTTGGCAAGTTGCGAGTTGGGTGGCACGCCTGCAATGGACCGCGGGCTTGACCTGAAGACAGATAGGTGATCGATCAATCGGAAATGAGTGCCATTTTCTTTGGCGGGTCGAGAAGGTTGCGTTGCGTGCTGGCGCCGTGCTGAGGTCGCTCCATGCCCATCCACTCTTCTGCACAGCCGTGCACCAATTGCATCGTGCTCCATTATGCTGGCGTGTCACAGGGGCCTGCAGCTGGCGCCTCCCACCGCCCTCCACTCGTGCACCGCTCCCGTGCAGCGGCAGCCACCACAGAGTGCAAGCAGAGCCTTAATCAGCCGTTACTTCGGACGGCATGCGTGCGATGTGAGGGCAGAGGCAGTGCCCAGCGGCGGCAGAAGCCTGCGCACCCCGCACAGCGGATACCACTGGGACGGCACGCCGCGACGCTGTGAGCTGGCGCCTTCCTGCGTGTCGAGCACACATTGCAGTGCGACAGGGGCCTGCATTGCGAGCGAGCATGCCTGTGGCGCCAATTTTGCAGCCCATGCATCGGCCAGTCGACTGTTCTGCCGCCGCATGGACATGACCTGACCCGGTGCCTCCCTGCCCCTCCCCCCGCGCCAGTCTTTGAGGGCTGGTACTTCAAGGTCACGCTGCCGGGCGACGGCCAGAGCTTTGCGCTGATCTATAGCGTTGAGGACCCGCTGGGCAACAACAAGTACAGCGGGGTGGGGGCGCAGGTGATGGGGCCCGATGACGGCTACCTGCTGCAGTACAGCCCCCAGGTGAGCGGCCCCCGGCAGCGGCAGGAGGAGGCTGCCGTGCCTGCGCAGCCTCCTGGAAAGCCTTGCTGCTTCGTCTAGAGGGAGAAAGGCAAAGACGTTGCCACAGCAGGAGCAGCTTGTGGGCAATGACGTGGCTGCACGGCTCGCCCGCCCGCCTCGCCGCCATGTGTCCCCTCCCCTCCCCCTGCCGTGCAGGTGCAGGAGTTTTGGGCGGACAGGAGCGAGCTTGCGCTGGGCGCGGTGTTCAAGCAGCGCTCCGCCTCGCAGCCGCTGAGCGGCCTGAAGCGGGTGCTTCCGCCGGCGCAGTTTGAGGCGGGGGTGGAGCAGGGCTTCCAGGCCACCGCCACCTGGCACCAGGGCAGCATCGTGCGGCAGGAGGCGGGCGCCACCGGCACCCTGACCTCAACCGTGGACACCTGCCGCTGGGCCTTCTCAGTGCGGCCGGTGGTGGGGTGGGGCGACGTGGGCGGCCGCCAGAAGGCCACCGCCGGCTGGCTGGCCTCGCTGCCGGTGTTTGAGCCTCACTGGCAGGTGGTGATGGCGCATGGACTGGCCACCGGCTGGGTGGAGTGGGGCGGCCAGCGGTACGAGTTCACCGACGCGCCGCACTATGTGGTGAGCGGGGGGGTGGCACCCAGCTGGGTGGCCAGGTGGGCAGCCAGGTGGGGAGGTCAGGCGAGGTCGCTGGGATCGCGCTGCTTGCTCCCCGTGTGCCGTTGAGGCACGTGCGGTTGCGGCCCGGAGCAGCTCTAGCGAGGGGGTATCCCGGGTGCCTGAGGCATCCACAAGCCCCACTGAGGTGCAGCACCTGCCCTGCCTGCCCCTCAGGAGAAGAACTGGGGCGGCGGCTTCCCGCGGCGCTGGTGCTGGATCCAGTGCAACACGTTTGAGGGCGAGCCTGGGACGAGCGTGACGGCGGTGGGCGCGCTGCGCGGCCTGCTGGGCGTGCCGGGGGTGGAGGAGAATGTGGGCATGATCGGCATCCACCACCGCGGCCGCTTCTACGAGTTCCTGCCCAACAACGGCAGCCTGAGCTGGGATGTGGATCCCTGGGGCCGCTGGCGCATCTCGGCACGCACCCGGGAGCACGAGGCGGTGGTGGAGGCGGTGTGCGAGGCGCCCGGCACGCCGCTGCGGGCGCCCACCATCGACGAGGGGCTGGCGCCTTTCTGCCGCGACTCCTTCTGCGGCAAGGTGGGCACGCGGGGCGGCCAGGCGGGTGGCACACTTCGCGGGGGCGTCTCTGACGGGCAGGTTTGGAGGATGTTGCTGCCCAGCCCACACTTGCCTTGACCGAGTCGGGGCCCCCACCTGGTGGTGCAGGTGCGCATACGCGTGTGGGCGGCGGGCGACACCGGCGGCACCCCCATCCTGGACTGCACCAGTGCGGGCAACTCGGGGGCCGTGGAGGTGGGCGGCGGCCCCTGGTTCTCACGCTGGCAGCAGGAGGCGGAGATGGCGGGGCCCGTCAAGCAGCTGCTCAACCTGCCGCTGGATGTGGAGGCGCTGGCCGACTGGCTGCCTGCCAAGCTGCGGCCGCCGGGGCTGTGAGCGACTCCTTGCCTTCTGGACGGGGGCGGCGCTGCAATTGACCCGGCCTGCCGTGCGCCGCGCTGGCGCTGAGCTCCGCCCCGTCAGCGCGCATTAACACCAGAATGCAATGCACCCTGTGTAAATTGGGCCGTTCCTGTCGTCTTTAATCATAAAAACTGTGTCGAAAAGATACATTACAGTGCTGGTCAAACCCCGCACCATCTGCAGCGCTTCCGCCTGTGTGTCCTCGCCTGCGCTGCTGCGCGGAAGTGTTCGCCCAGCATGACTGCTCTGTGCGAAAAAATAGGTGAGACGGGGCGTGTCTGGGCGATGGGGCACGCGTTGGACACCACCCGTCTCCCGGCTCCCCAGGCGCCGTTGTACGGCTTGCGAGCATGATTGAGCAGGGCGATGCCGCAGCAGCAGCGGGCGCCTTGGCAGCGGCCTGCCCTCACGTGCCGCCGCCGGGCTCCACTTGCCGCCGCCCGGCTCCCTTCCCCGCCCCACCCTATAACCCCGCTACCCCACACACTGTAGCCCACCACCTGCCCGAGGTGCGGCACCGTGCACTGCGTAGCCTGAGGTTCAAGATGCAGCATGGCCTGCTCATCGACTCGGCTACAGCAAACCCAGCAGCGTGGGGCCTCGAGCACCTGCTGGAGTTTCTGGACCCAGCAGCACTGGGGGCCAGCGAGGCACCAGATGCGCTGCAGGTGGCGCTGGAGCTGCTCAGAGGGCTGGCTCGGCAGCCGGCAGTGGTCCCGCTGCTGCTGCAGCTGGGAGCAGACCAGGCATTGATCAGACTGGCCGATGCCGTGCCAGGGTGCGCCCAGCCTGCCACAGAATTGCTTGGCGAGCTGTACCAGCGGTGCGCAGCGCCCGACCCAGGCCTGCACAACGATGCCAGCCCGGCAGCAGCGGGGCAGCTCTGCAGCCCTGCTTCGCAGCATCAGCCGTGGAGCAGCACAGGCGGCTCCTGGTTGCCGCCTTCATCCGGTCCGTACCAACCGGCGCTCGCTTCTGCCTGTCACACCTCTACATCGCCGGAAGATGCGCTGGCGGCCTGCTGCAGGCGTGTGCATCCCATCCAGTTAGCTGCCGATGATTCGCAGCAGCTGTTTGACCTGGCACAGCAGCTGCAGCACAATGCAGAGCCCACAGTGCTGGCCGGCCTAGCCACGCTCGAGCATGGCGTGCTGTCAGACATAACCCTGTGTTACAGTCACCCCGCTATGATAGGCCGCGTGAGCAGACCTTGGGCAGGGGGCACACGTGATCAAGGGGCATCAAGAGAGGGGGTGGACCATGGAGCACCCTCTCCATGGCTCCGACCACCCTCCCCCCAGCTGAGCGTCCCAGGGTCACCCCACCCTGGCCCCGCTCCCCGTCCTGCCGGACACGCAACCCCCACAACGTGGTGGGGGACGTGGGGATCCTTAGCAGCTTAGGCCTGCCAGGCCGACGGGTGCCGATGCTGGTGCGGGCTCCCGGCGGCAGGCAGCGCCGCCGCCGGGCACTCAAATGGCATGGGGCACATGGGCCCCCATGCCCGCACATCTCCCAGGCACATGAAAATACCAGAAGGCTGCACATGTAAGGGTGCATGCATTGCAGGCAGGAGTGCAAAGTGGCCTGCCGCGGCGGTCGGCTGTGCCATTACTCAGTCAGCCGCCGCTACCGTGCCGGGCTTGGCGTTCCCATGCCAACATGCCGGCGTGCCATCGCGCAAGGGGCCAGTGAGTGTGTGAGGCGGAGGTGGGGGTGGTGGGGCTGCCGCTGACCGTTGCTTGCTGACGCTGACGCTGCTCTTACCTGCGGGGGGAGGGG